AGAGAGAGAGAGAGAGAGAGAGAATGAATGGGAGGTGAGGAGCAGGAAAGGAAGAGGGTGGGAGGGTGGGTGGGAGAATTTGTCACAGAAGGAAAGAGTCATTGCACGATTCTGTAGCTCTAGAGACGAGGATGTCAGCCAGGGATCATTTCAGTTGTCTTGAGCTTATCCCGCCATTGGCAGGCCTTGGACGCTTTCGTCAACTTCCTTATCGTTGTGAGACTCCCTGCTCTGTCGCTTGCTAGCTTCAGTGTCAGTCTCGTTGACCGCCAGCCTTCAGTCTATCGGATCTGTGGTGGTCGGGGCCTTGTTTGGGATGCTGTCGGCATTTATCACAAAGAGGGTCATCAAGGATGGAGCTCCGCACAGTGAGGTAAGGACGTGAACATACCAGTGTGAGTGAGATGTTTTTAAGTGGGAAGATTGTTTTGGATGAGCATGAAGTTTGTTCTGGATATGATCGCCTCCTTGTTTATGCCAGATTTTGTGTTTGAGACGTCTGTACTAAAGATCCATCTCTACTCGAGGTGTTTGTCAATCTTATTCCGAACATTAGTTGTGTACATCCAATGTGTTGCTTTCAATGTTGTTTCTACCGCTGCGTTAATTGCTCCCCCTCCAACTGGCAGGTCACAATCGTGTTGAGCGTCGCATATCTCAGTTTCATCTTTGCCGACGCTATCAAGGTCCTGATTGTCCTCTCGTCGCTCCTCTGACGTGTGTTGTCAGGTTTCTGGACTCATGAGCATCTTCTTCTGCGGAGTGATAATGTCACATTACACCAAATACAACCTCAGGTGTGACCATTCACAACTCTTTCTTATCACCTTGTTCCCTCATTTACCTCTTCTTTCATCTACTCGTTCTCTCATGAATGATACGATTGTACTTCTCATCGTCTACCCTCTATCTTGTCAATCATACAACACTTTCACTTCTGTTGGTGAAATTGAATGCATTGCATTCTTGCAACGACAGCCATGACGGCAAAGAGACAGCTCACAACGTCGCTCGAACATTAGCGTACTTGAGGTTGACAGCATGCAAAAATGACTGTTGAGGAGATCATGATGAAAGCTCATCGGCGCAGTGAGACATCTGTTTTCATCTTCTTTGGTTTCAACATCCTGCCGACCATCTTACCTCACTGCAACAGCAACAAGCAGGTAGGAGAAGAGAGCAACGGGAGGAAGGCTAAGAGTGGTTGTTGGCGAGTCAGGAGGAGGAAAGTTTACTGATACTAACGCCATTTGATTTCATAGGGAGAACCGAAGTTTGTCTTGGACTGGTGCTTCGTGGGCTGGTCAATCGTGCTCTGTTTGATATCAAGTGAGTCATTGCGTGCCGGTCTTGACGAGGAGAGGTGAGGAGATTGACGTGTTGCAGGAGCGAACGTGTTTTTCTTGTGCTGGTTGCTCAATACTTGCAAGAGGTGAGGAGCGGAAGAGAAAGGAAGGAAGAGCAAGGGCGGGAACGAGAGCAAAGGGTGCAGGAGCAGGAGCAGGAGCAGGAGCAGAAGCAGGAGCAGGAGCAGTAACAGGAGCAGGAGCAGGAGCAAACTCCAAACCCGAAAAGAAGACAACTTATTCTATGCATTGCTTCACAGGTCAGGTCACGCACAAGAAACTCGTATCAGCTTCAAGAACATGTTGATGATCTGGTTTGCTGGGTTGAGGTAAAAAAAAAATCATCATTGTTATCATATTACCACCACCACCACCACCACCACCATTCATAACAACAGCAAAAGCAACAGCAACAACAAAATGTTCTTCTGGCTTCTCTCTTGCACTTTCCCTCATTCTCCATCCATCAGCTGACCATCGTCATGTTCAATAGGGGAGCCATTGCCTTCGCCCTCTCCCTCACCTTCCAAGGCCCCAACCGAACTTACATCATCCCTTGCGTCGTCGTTATTATCCTCTTCACCAACGTGTTCCTCGGCCAGGTCAGAAACATTCCTCCCGTGCTACCTTCTTGCCTTGATTGACCTCCCTGTGCTCACAGCTAACAGCTCCTGTGCTGCGACTGCTCAAGATTCCAACCTTCGTCAGTCAGGATCACGGGGCGAACGTGAGTTCCTCTATCATGCGTGTCATGTGCAACGCGATCTCACTTCCTCCTCCCGCCATGCTTCCTGCGACTGGTGCCGTGCGGACTCGTCGCTTCCTTCCTTCAGCCAATCACAAGGTTGCACCTCAACTTGTCGAGTTGCGAGTGATGGGATGCGAACGTATGCAGAGGCTCGATCTTTCTCCGTATCGACTCGCTCATCACGTATCAACATGAGACTCCAAACTCAGGTGATTGCATAACACACATGATAATGAGGAGGAGGAGGAGGAGGAGGAGGAGGAGGAGGAGGATGAGGATTGAAATGGGAGTGAGAGATACGCGATGAAGCTGAAACAGAACATTGCAGGCATTGAAAGGGAACATTTGGACCTTGCGCATCATGTTGATAAGAATGATTTCCTTGTTTCTCAAGCCCTCTCACAGCGCGTCTCTTCCTCCCTCCTCCTCCCTCCTCCTCTTTCCTTCTTCTTTCTCCCCCTTCTGCTCCTTCTTTCTCATCCTGCCCCCTTCTCCTCCTTCTTTTTCTTGGTTCTTGTGCAGTTGATGAGTCAAGAGAGTTCAAAAGCGCACAGAAGCAAACTGCATCGCATATGGAGGAGATTAGACGACAAGTGAGCGAGGAAAAAGTATTGCCATCCAGCTGATGTGTTTCAAGGTACATCAAGCCACTGATTGGGGGAAGAACGAGAGAAGATCTGGCGAACGAGCTCAAAAAGACCCTCCTGTCCTTTCATGTATGTCAACATGTTCATCATCACCATCACCACCATCACCACCATCACCATTAATCATGCTTCCATCATCATCACTAGCGGTGGATGATCATCATTTCATGTGTCGTTCACATAGTTTTACCCTCTTGATTGAGATGAACAGGACGGGAGCAACTCAGCTCTGCCTGACGAAACTTCACAAAATGCAACCGAGCACGAGGAGCTGACGAACCTTCCTCTCCGGCTGGAAGAGATCGAACCAGCAGATGCACGAACGAGGTGAGCAAGAGATAGCAGCAGCAGCTGGAGAGAGAGGAGGAGAAGGAATGAGAGAAGGAGGAGACAGCAGCAGCTGAAGGAGGAGGAGGAGGAGGAGGGAGAGAGAGGGGACGAAGGAGGAGGAGGAGGAGCAGTGAAAGGAGCAAGAGGAGGTGCTGGTGATGGATTCTGTAACTGCAGGCCCCCTACTTCTCCTCCGCCAGCCGCTCGTGGTGAAAACGCGGGACTATGAGACAAGGAGTGGGAGAAAGGAGGAGCAACATGAAATGAACTTGAACTGATGCAGATTATTGGTATCGACACATTTCTACTCATCGCCTTATCGTGTTTGTTTCTTTCATCTCTACAGTCGTTGAGAGAATTCTTGGAGATTGGACTCAATCTCGTAGAACATTTTCACTTGGTCCGGTGTAGCCTGAGAAGATTCAATCGTCATTATCACCTTCTGCCTTCCAAAAGCACACGGTATGGCTAAAAGACACTGATCCCTTGCTCCATCATCAATACTTCATTCTCTCCATCATCATCATCATCATCATCATCCTAATCAGCAGCAGCAGCAGCAGCAGCGTCATCATCATCATCATCATCATCATCATCATCATCATCATCATCATCATCATAATCAGCAGCAGCAGCAGCAGCAGCATTATCGGCAATCCTTTCATTATCGTTGTCTTACCACTTTCTTCCACTCTTCCAGCTTTTCTGCTTGAGCCTTAGGGTCATCGTACTCTGATGAATCGTCAGAAAAGTCTCAAGGAATGAGGAGGGGGGGGATGGGGGGGGGG